GCCTGGGCGGGGCAGAAGACCCGCCTGCCAGGCGAGTTCTGGTGACTCCCTGCGCCATGGCCCGGGCCTACACCGGAGGCCGCCGGGGCCGCGGCGCTGAGTGGCGGCGTCTCCTTCAGCCCCGCTCCTAGGCGGCCGTAGCCGGACGGGAAGCCTAAGTGGGATGCGGCTGACGCGGAAACGACTCTGCTCGTTTCTCATCGCCCTGTACTGCCTTTTCTCCCTGTACGCCGCCTACCACGTCTTTTTCGGGCGCCGCCGCCAGACGTCGGCCGCGTCCTTGCGGGGCCTCCGGAAGGGGGCGGCCCCGGCGCGGGACAGGCGTGGCCGAGGTAGGACACGGCTTGGCGGCCTCAGAGCCCGGCCGCGCACCTCCACGCGGAGTTGCGGGGACCTGGCGAAGCCGACCGCGCGGCCGGGGAATCTGGCTCGGATCTGGGATTGCGCGCGGACCCTGCGGTGCGCTTTTGCTCCGTCTGCTCCCTTTAACCTGCTCTGGGCTAGGGATTGGAGGGCGTACCAATGCTTTGATCCTCTTCCGCATCCGCACACCATCCCCACTTCCTATCCCCAAAACTGACAGGCATGCACACCTTTAAAACTTGTCTTAAATATCCAAGACGTCACAAAATGCCACAGATTCTCGGGAATGCCGCTGAGTTTAAGACATCCATTTCTATATTGAAACAGTCTTCTTTAATCATTCAGTGAGTTCCGAAGTTCAGGACCCTTTACCTCCAAGTCCTGGTCCCTGATCCTGTTTTTTGACCTATGTCAGGATCGGATTCAGGCTCACGGTCCCTTTTCTGCAGAATTTTGCACAATGGTTTCTAAAATTGTTGGACATTACATTCTGAAGTCAAGTTTTTATGTTTAGGTTACGTGTATACACGGTCTATTAAAAAATTGCGAAAGTTAAACTTGTAAAGTGATACGTATTATCCAGTTATTTTAGAAGGTTTTTAGTTTGGGAGATAATTTTGTTTTGTGTTAAGATCTCTAAGATCTTTCAGAGAAAAGGTTTAATAAAAATTAGATTCCGATTTCCTTTTTTTTTTTAATCTGTGTTTAACCCGTTCAAATTCAAGTGCTTTACCTCTTTGAAAAACTGAAGTTAGGATGAAACTAGAACTCCCTAACATCTAATTTAAATGTCTTGAATTTATCTACAACTTCAGCTCTACCTTACTGATAAACACTGTTACTCTTTTTAAAACAGTACAGTCTTCTTTGGGAAGTGAAGAATGGAATCCTTGGGAAGGAGATGAAAAATATGAACAACAACGCAGATTTAAAACAAGCCTTCAAATAGTGAATAAATCTACAAAAGGGAAAACAGACTTCCAAGTACAAATCTGGGGCAAAGCCGCCATTGGTAAGTTAATGTGTAGAACTAAGACATGTAAAAAGCATCACAAAATGTACTTTATTAATATTAAACTCAATTCATTTTAATACAATTATAGTTTATTTCATCATTTAAGGTATAATGCATTTTTTAAATTTTTTAAAATATTTTTTCTCCTTTCTGTTAGTCAACATCCATGCAAATACACATGCACACACATATTCTATTGTTGGTCTTTAGCTAAGCACAGCTTTATTTGTAGATGAAAAGAGTAGGTTGTGTAGGCATTATAGTTCAATGCCTGTGTCAACCGAAGTTTCATAAATTTACGTTTATTGGATAATTGATACACAAGTATAAGATGTGGCCCCTGCTCTTGATTGACAAACAAGTTTGAGAAACACGAACTAAATAAAGTTAAGCGAGGTTTTTTATTGATTTCTCAGAGCCTTTAATAGGCCAGTATTCATCGTCAATGTCCAAGAAGGGGATATATGTAGTTGATTAAATTTGATAGCCCACAAAAGCGTTTTGCTTGGTATCATGAAAGCCTAGCATTCTAAGTTATATGTTATGCCCAATTAGAGAATTGAACCCTCAGTTTTTAAAAGAATAGGAAAAAATTTAGTGAATTAAAAGGGGCTTTATTTAGCCTTTAAACATGAGTTGGGTTTATATGTACTGTAAGGGATATATGTAGAAAGTACCAGATGAGAGGAGAGGAAAGAGAGTATTAAGCCTGCCCATGTTGTTTCATAAATTCGTTTACACTTGGATGCAAATATACATCCTTGAAGGTTACTACTGACCTTAAATTCCAACTACCCAGATCCAGGCCTCCAACTGTCAAGTTCTAACAATTTTTTTCCTTAATTTCCTCTAATATTAATTTCTTTCAAATTACCATTTTCCATTCTAGTTTTTAATTAAATCTATATTTTAACAGGTTTTTATATTTCCAGACTTTTATTTTTTAATTCAATAAGCGCAGAGTGGCCAGATGAGTTTTATCAAACACTACTTTCATCAACCTGTTCCCCAGGTACAGTCATAGTACACCAGTTACAGATATTCTCATTTAAAAAGGGAGAAAATGGAAGTAAAATTGAGTTACTGGTCCAAGCAAATTTGAAATCCAACCAGGCAAACTTCATTAGGTTTAAAGGCCTGGGAATAATCTGTGGCTTGAAGCTTTGCTTCTGGCCTTTCAGCTCTGCCCTTGGGAGTCATTCTTCCTATTTCATGAAGGATATCATGTGTTTTCAGATCATAGTTTTATCAGCCTGTTTCCTGCAGATAGGATTTTGGGAATACAACAGCCTCCTTTCATTTCAACCTCTCAGTCCCTTTTAGTCCAAACTGGCAGTGTTTTTGCTGATACCACATTCTCAAGAACCTTGCAGGTCTCTTGTGTATGTCACGAGTATTCACTACATCAGACAAGAGCTCTTTCACAGGTCTTTCCTGAATAATCTCATCTCTGTTTCTGGCTTCTGCTGAGATTACTGAAGGAGATCCATAAACTACATATCTTATATCTTCAAAGAGCCCTCTATGTGACAATATTATGATTTTAATCAACAATTTTTATTATCTTTCATATATTTCATAGAAAAGAGAATGTGGCACATGTGGGTCAGGGTAGGACGAAAAAAATGCAGGTTTGAACACGTTGCTCGATTTACGTTGAGCAAGCTCTCTCTAACATCAAGCACAGCAGTTGCACTTGTCCAATGTTCATTTGCATACACAGCCCTGGAGCACAGCCCACCAGGCAGCAGGAGCAGCAGTTCCTCTTCCAAGAAGTACATTTACAGTCTTTGCATTTATAGGATCCAGTGCAGCTGCATGTTTCACCAATGGGGCAGGAGCAATTAGAGTCCATTTCAAGCAGAGATGAGGCAGGAGATCTAAAGCAAGAGGCAAAGAGACACTTGTGCTGGTGTAGCATGTGGTCAACATTATGATCTTTCTATCCTTCTGAGGCCAAAGGGTATTCAGTCACATCCTTGGCCTTCTCTCCACAGCATGCTTTCCTGACAGTGAATCTAAATTTTCACCTTTTTTGCATTCGGAATAGGCCAAGAATTACCCAAATCATCAAGTACTGATTCCTTTTTACTTTGTAGCTATTTCCTTTATCTCTGTCTTTCCTCTCATGTTTTACTATAATCAGCAAGAAGTAACCAGGCCAGAGCTTCAACACTTTTCTTGGAAATCTCTTTAGCTAAATATCCAAGTTTATTGTTTACTAGTTCTGCTTTCCACATAACTGCACGACACAATTCAGCTAAGCTTTCTGCTGCTGTACAGTAGTGCACCACTTAACAGGGATAACATTCTGCAAAGTGTGTCATTTGGCACTTTCATCCTTATGCGAACGTCATAGAGTGTACTTATGCAAACCTGGATGGTATAACCTACTACTGTACATGTATATGCTATGCTTTACGTGACTAGCAGCACAGTAGGTTTGTTTACACCAACATCACCATAAACACATGAGTAATACGTTGCACTCTGACTTTACAACATCGCTAGGCATAGGAATTTTTCAGCCCCATTACAAATATCTTATGGAACCAGTGTCACATATGTGATCCATTGTTGACTGAAACGTGATGCATGACTGTATAACAAGGATCGCCTTTTCTTCAGTTTCTAATAATGTTACTCATTTCTTGAGCCTTCACCAGCAATACTTTTAACGTTCATATTTCTACCAACAGTCTGCTTATGATTTAGATATTCTCTAAGATGATAGAGATTTTTTCCTACTGTGCTCCCAACTTTCTTCTGAGTTCTCACTAGTTGAATCATTAATATTTATATTTTGACCTACAATTTGTTCAAGGCAACCTAGGCCTTTTTTTAATCATACTCCTCAAAATTCTTCCATCTTCTTTCCATTAACTAATTCCAAAGCCACTTCCAGAATTTTAAATACTTGTTACATTAGTATTCTATTTTCAGGTACAATAATTTATAACTATATAATCTAGTAGTTTCCTGTAGCTGCTATAACCTATTACAAAAATTTAATGGCTTAAAACAGCACAAATTTATTATCTTATATTTCTGAAGGCAGAAGTCTAAAATATGTCCAGAAGGCTGTATTCTTTTTGGAGCCTCTAGAGGAGAATCTGTTTCCTTGCCTTTTACAACTTCTAAAGGCCATCACATTTCTTGACTCATGGCCCCACATCGCTCTGACCTCTGCTTCCACCCTCAAGTCTCCTCCCTCCTCTGACCCTCCTGCCTCCCTCTTCTGAGGACCCTTGTGATTACATAGGGCCCATCCAGATAAGCTAAGATAATCTTCCCACCTCAGCAGCCTTAATTTAATCACGTCAGAAGTCTCTTTTGCCATGTAATGTAACATATTCACAGGTTCTTGAGATTACATCCTTGGACATTTTGGTGAGGGTGGCGGGGAGCAGGATTACTCAGCCTATCACAATTAGCTCTATCTGATTGGCCAAGTCTTTAAACATGTTTGTTGTTGTTGTTGTTGTTTATGTAGATCCTTTAGTTTTAATGAAAATGAAACAAAACTCATTTTTCAGTGTAACTAAAATAAGGCTCCCAGGTTACCTCATTGTCTCCAGATTTCCTCATTGTATTACACTGCTCTCCTCTACTCTCAGAGCTTTCATTCAGTTGAAATCATGATAAAATATCAGAGGCTGCCCTAAGGAGAAAAGAATCAGTGTTATTTGCCTGCAAAGGACATCACGCAGTGAAGGATGTATGTTCAAGTGAGGAGGACGTATTATCTCCTTGACATATTGAGAGTATGTGTGTGTGTATACACACATGAGCTTTCCTGGTTGTGTTTGGCACAAAATGGTGAATCCTCCCAGTTATAATATAGAAACAGTTCTATTCATGTACAACAGGTCTTCCTAACGAATGCAATGTTGCCTCATTATAATATTGATGAGATGCCATAGGAACTTAACTCTTTTTTTCCCTCCTCTTTAATTCCCCCTACACTTCCGCCCCTGACCTATGGATGTTGCTATTTCCCCTTACGAACTGGATCTCTGAAGGCAGAGCAGCATCTCCTCCCACACACTCCCAGAGTGCACCCAGGGCCTGGGGCCATGTGCCCCCCGGGGTACTGGCACTGACACTGACACTGGCACTCGGGGGACCTGGCACGCACTAGGCGGGTGGGGGTGCCTGGTGCACACTCAGGGTATGGTCCGTGGCTCCACTTGGTGGGGCTCGAACCTAGAACCTTCTGCATGTAAAGCAGACGTGCTAACCAGTACACTATGGAGCCACCCCCACTTAATTCTTGTTGATATCAATTAGCCCATGGTAAAATTGGTTTTGTTATACATTGGTTCACTTAAAGTGGCAGAACCTATCAAGGACATTAAGTGAGAACTTTCTATAGTAATTTACATGGTGCTATAACACATTTCTAGGTAAAATAGGTAGTAAAGGTCCAGTGATAATTACAGTTATCTCAAATTTAGAGTAAGAGAGGTTATTGTCTTTAACCCATATTTTGTCACTTTTTACACTGACAACCTCTGAGTTCTGTTTCTCTTATAGTAGCTGCCATACTGTTGACTTTGAGCTATTACTTGTTAGCACTGCCTGCCAAGGGGTCAACGAGGGGGGAAAAAAATCTGGTTTCCTAGTCAAATGGTATAAAAGAACAGAACTTAAACTCATCCCACACACCAGATTAGACAGGACAGTAAATGGTTTTGTTTTTCTTTTTTTAATTACCAGGTTTGTATCTCTGGGAGCATATTTTTGAAGGTTTACTTGATCCCACTGATGTGACTGCTCAGTGGAGAGAAGGAAATTCAATTGTGGGAAGAACACATTACAGGTATTAATTGTATAACACTAACCTTTGATGTGTTGCCATTCAGTGTTTTATGTAAATACTGGAAGAAAACTATGAGGAAAATATGTTCATAGAAAATATTTCCACTTCAACTAGTGAAGAATAGAGAAATAAATCTAATGAATATGTATTTGTAGTTAAAGCTTAACTTGAACATTTTCTTACAAAATTTGAGTGCAAAATATTACTTTTTTTAACGATATGTCTTTCATTTTTATCAAAACATTTCTGATTCTATAGAAAAATTCATGTTCCACATCTTGTAACATTTAATTGTTGATGAGTATTGAACATTTCATACTTTGGATGAATAATATGTAAATTTAAAAGCATTTTCATTTTTTTTTCATATAATAGTTTTGTTCACATATTTTTATAAAAGCTTGCTATGAATTTTGGAATATTTATTTGTTAGAACATTTTATATATGAGTTCTATCATAATTTAATAGTATAGGTTCCCATTTTACTGCAGTACTCAGAAATCTTTTTTTAGATTTAATAAAACCAATATATTACTAAGACTTTTTTGAGCCTTTATTTTTATAAAACTTTTATCTATGGCTGCATATTTTCTAAAGGTTTTTCATAAATAGAATTAAGATTTTCTTTAGAAAAATCATGATCATTTTATCATATGAAAGCTATTTTCTATTAGATTTTGCTTTTTCTTGAAATAATTATTTTCAAATGCTTATTTCATGTAACAATTATATTATTAGGGAGAAAAATGTGAACCAAAGATTCTGGTTTGTATTAGGATTCCATTTCTTATAGAAATCAAGAGGAAAAGTTATAGTTAATCTCAATTCTATTTGAATTTTCTATGCTTCTTTAATTTTTTATTTACTTTATATGCACTAAGTAAGCAATTTTATTGCATGAATCTTTTCAAAGTAATCTTTCTTGAAAAATAAACAGGTTTTTCAAATTGTCATTGGTAATGATTATTTTTCTTTTCATCTCTAAGCTTCTGTAGATCTAATCCCATTCAAGAGCTTCTATATAGTCCCAAACTTAGAACAGTTGGATTTGGGTATTTGAAAGTAAATGTGTATTATGCATATAAATCTAATAATTTGGTATTTAAAAAGTAAAAGTGTTATGGTTATTGGTCTATTACTTCTACCCATGGAATTTTCAGAAAAATTCTTAAAAATTCGTAGAGAATTTAGTGTATACTGTTACTATAATGATCTCAAAGGATTTGAGCAAACAGCATTAATTCTCAAACAAAAATCTTCCCTTCTGAAATTTTTATAAATTATGATCAAATAGCAATGCTTTTTTAGAATTTAAAAGAACTATGTATTCATAGAAGTTCACAATTGTGGCAGGTGTTTTTAAACATTAAAATTTAGGCTCTAGAAAAGTAGTATACCTAATTTATTTATCCAAAATCAATAACTTCTTTGGAATTGCAAGTTTTGAGTTAAATTGAGCTACATGAGTACTAATTTCAATGTTTTAATGCTTTCATCCTTATTTAACCAAAAGTGAATCAGAAGTAATAGGTTATCTTGAAGAAAGGGAAAGAATTTCTAAGTACTATCAGGAAACTTGTAAATAAATATAAATAAATTTGTTTAAATAAACCTTTTAGTTTACAAAGAACTTATATCATTTACTTTTAGCCTCAACAACAATTCTGAAGCAGAAGTAGAAAGGATATAATTAGTGTTCCAGGGTTGATCAGGCTCATGAATGCTGATTCTTATCAACGCCTAGAACCAAAGAATGCAATCCAGAATACCAAGTAAATAACTCAGAATGGAGCTAGGACTGTCAGTCAGTCCACAGTCTTGTTTTGACTTGACCAGGACATTATTTGCATTTAGGCAGGCTACAGTTGATATCCAGTTATTTGAGGGTTGTTTGATTAAATATGGAATCCAAGTATAGGATTTAACTATGTATAGTATTCCCAAACTCTGTGTGTTTTAGAAGGAAATAAATGGCTCATCGTTCACCACTGAACCAGTAACATATACAGTCTATATGCTCAGGATATGAATACATGAATACCTGTGGGGCACATTGAACTGAGTCAGCCTAATTAAGCCCTGCCACCTCTGGGGAGTATAGCAGTGTGACTAAGTTGTTAAGATCACAGACTGCAGCCAAAATATTTCAGTTCAAAGTTCAGCTTTATCTCTTATTAGCTGTCTGACCATGGGCAAGTTTCTTATCCTCTCTGTACTTGGATTTCCTTAAGTTTAAAATAAGGCAAATAGTAGTTTCTATTTCATTGGATTGTTTTGAAGATTAAATGCATTAATAGCTGTATAGTGCTTAGTCTCTGACACGTAATAATCACTATAGAAGTTATTGTTATTAGTTTTATTATTTTTACTATTGCTTAAATAGGTACTGCAACATCTCCCTACCTTTCAGTTTTCCTTTTTCTGTGTTTCCATTGTTGCCTAAAACTCCATCATGTATCTCCCCACAAATACCTTGTTGATATATTGTTTATGTTAATATGTTGAAGTAGGTTACAGGCTAGCCTGGAATCTATTCTGTCTTTTGAAGGAACTTAGCCAATCTCTACTCACATCCATCATATGTTGATTTATGGTTTGATTTCATAGGGCAACTTTATTTTAAATTTCTTAGGAGGAATCTTACTTCTGGTCATTGTGGCCTTTGCTCATCCCCAAAGACTAACTTCAGAATCCTGTAATTTCCATGTGCAGTCATTATCATAAGATAAATAAACATCTGCTCATTTGATAAGACAAAAACAAGATGCTAACTCATTGTTATCAACATTCAATTACAGTATTTTCAAAGAGTATCCACCACATATGAAAAAATTTAACTTCTAAAGATATGACTACTATAAAAAGTTAGCTCACTACTTATCACAGTAAGTGTAAGCTTTCATAGATAATAGTTACACTACATTTAAGTTAAATAGTGGATCATAGATCAGTGCAGGTCTCAAAATTTTTGTTACACAACAAACGCAATATAGTTAATTTTTCACAATGCCCATTCTCTCACTCCAGCCAAGCTAGTGTGAGAATGGGAGTGTTCTATCATCAACACTGAATTAGAAAGGGGTGGAGCCCTGTCAGTAATGCTGGCCACAAAAGTGGGGTGAACTGGAGTAGCTATCTAAATGTAAGGGCTGCTCATGAGTTTGGTATACCTATTTTATAAAACTGAATTTTCTAAAACTCTTAACCAAAAATGATACAGAATTCAATGTCTAAGAGCCATATGGACTGTTTAGCCTGGGCACTTATTCTTTATCAAGGCATTTGCCATAATCTTAACTGGCAAATTAGTAATCTGTAACTCATTAAATATAATAATGGTACATATAGAGTATTGGTTCAGTAGTACTTGCTGAATTTAGAAAAAAATGAAAGAGTAATTATATTGGAGTCTAAAAATATATATTATTTTCACACTCAGCTTAGAACTCAGTATTTGAATAATTTCTCTGGGCTTTCTTTGTATGAAAATACTTATGGGGAGAAAAACTTTTAACTTAGCCAAACAGAAAAAGAATAAGTACAGGAAATTAGAAGTTCTAACTATATATGCTAAGAAAGCTAGAAGAGTAAATCACCATTTTAAAATTCAGTATATGAGCTCCTTAAATATGTTTATTCTTCAGTTAATAGAATTTTTTATTGATACTTGACTAATAACCTTAAGAAACTAAAGTGTACCTTGCATCATGCATAAATATGCTATAATATCTCATACATAAGCCCTACTTTAGTAAATGTATAGCTGGAAAGTTATTAAATTTAACTTTTGTAACTTGATTTGTATTTTATATGCAATAGGAGAACTTAAATTTGTAGAGCAAATAGGTCCCTTAAAGAGAATTACTGCTTATTCATTCAAGATTTACTGAGTGCCTACTAGTTAGTTCATACTAAGCTCTGAGGATTTCAAAGTGAATAAAATACTTTTCCCTAACCTCAGGGAGTTCACACACTAGTGGTTGAGACAAACACTAGTAATAATTTTCATACCCTATATAAAGCATAATGATAAGGATTTGCATACTCTACCATGTTAGTTAGGGAAATACTGAGAAAAGGCAATTAGTCCAATCTGAGTAGAGTTGGGAATATGGAGACTGTGAAGAAAGGCTTTCTAGAGGAGGTGATAGCTGAACTGAATCTTAAAAGATTAGTAGGATTTAACAAAGCAAGGAGAAGAGAGATTCTCAGCAGAAGTGACATCAGGGACTGAGAACTGAGAAGCAGTTTGGTTTGTGCAAACCATTCAGAATCCTTAGAGCATGAAGATGGGGTACGGTAAGTGAGATTGGGAGTGCAAGGCAAGGGCCAGATCATGGTGAACCTCATGTGTGACACATTAAGGCTCTTGGCCTTTATTCTTGGTCAGTGAAAAGCATTAAATATGATCAAGCAAGATAGTGATATTGTGTAGATTTCTTTACTGGCCATGTAGAAAAATGGTTTGAAGGAGACAACTGGATATGGGAAATAAGTATCAAGCAGAGAGATGTGTAACTAAGGGATGAAATAGAGAAGTGGTGATGAGGTCAGAGCCAGGAACAAATTTAAGAAATATTTTCAGGCAAAATTATCAGAATTTAGGGATTATTAGATATGAGCATGAGAGTAAGAAATGAATCTGACAAGTCCTTGGTTTCTAACTCGCATGACAGGGTAGGTGGTGTGCGATCAAGAGAAAATACAGAAATAGGAGCATGTTTGTCCACTTTTTTCTAGCCCACTGCACAATACCTGTTTGGCCCCTTCTTTCTCAGCAGTCAACCCTGCCTACTTCCTCAAGAAAATTAAGCAGATCCATAATTATTTCCCTTAACTAGCTCCTCTAACATTTACCTACACAATCTCTCTCTCTGATTCCTTGCCTAACCTCTCATTCTTTAGCTCTCCAACAATGAATCAATGTCCATGGTTCAAGATTCACTCCTTCCACCTGTGCATCCCTTCTGCCTCTTCCAAGACCTTGCTCAATTACTTCCTTGCTCTCTTTTATCTTCAACTTTCACTCATTGCTTTCTCACCTTCTCATCTGAACTTTCAAAAGAGTTATCTGCACTCACTATCACCACTTTTTTATTTACTTTGCAACCCACTGCAGTTCGACTAACACACCTCCCAACACACACAACTTTCTGAATCTTACAGGATTATATTTTTATCCCTAAAGTTTCTTTATGTAGATCTGTGCTTCCTAGACTGTGTACTGAGGCACCCTGGGGCCTGATAAACTCTCCTGATAAAAAATATTTTTAGGCACATTCATGTCTTACCTAGTTAAAAATCAAAATGAAATATTATTAGATAATTGTCAGTGTTATCCATAGTAAAATGTTTGTCTTTAAAAAAATAACAAAGTTTGTATGGTACTCTTTAAAATAGTTTGGGCATATGATCTGAATTGGCTTAATGTCAAATAACTAAGTTTGAGTCCCAACTCTGTCATTTTTTATCTAGTGTCTGCTAGCTTTATGCAAGTCATACAACCTTTCTCAAGGTTTTC